ACAGTCTTTAAAATCAAATTTTCACTTCCCACTATGCTATTATCCCCCTTGGAATAGCTAACTTCCTTCTCTTCCTTAAACGCCCAAAAATCAGACACAAGAGCTTCTAGCTTCTAATTCTGAAGCAACAAAGCACAAAATAAATTCCAAAATCACACCTTAAAGCATTCATCGTGTTGTACAACCATGACAGAGATCAATTTAATGACGATTAATTATAAAATAGATGACAGCTTACGATTTCTATAATCTCATTTAAATATACTAAAAATAGTTTGCAGAACATGACTCGCCTATTATTTTAATAAATAGGTCATTAAACCAATTCAAAAACATTCAAAATAAGAATAAAAAATCTTGTCAAGTTCTTTCGTGGTGGTAGATGAGCCGATGGTTGGTAATTTGTTGGTTGGAGATCAGGAACAGATTTAGCTATACTGGATCTTATTGAACTGGGCAAGATTTGCCTGGATGTTACTAGTTCTTACTAGGATTTTCATTATAAGCATCAATTTGAACTTATTCATTTTTAAATTAGAAAAATAGAATCCTGGATATCCCCAGAAATCAGGTCTAATTTTAACAAGTCACTCATTTCGGTTCAGTGCTCAAGAATTATCCTCACCTTGATTTTCTCACAAAATCCCGCCGTCTCGTTATAGACATTTTGATTAAGCCGAACAAAAACTACAAAAAAAAAATCCAAATCAAATCCAAGGTCACATGTAGAACTGACACTCCACACATATTCTCTCTTTTTTTAACGTCGCAAATCTGACTGCTCAGAAACAGCAACTTTGAAAGAAGAAATAACTTTTTTTTGTGCTGTTCGATAAAGCAACAACAAGAAGAAATCTTCTGACTGCTTCTAAAAGGGACTGCGAAACAAAAATGAAAGTGAAAGTTCATAAGGTAAAGGATTTGAGCATTGTCGTTATGTAAAATGAAGAAAATGGAGTTACGAATTATTGGGATTGATCTTCTGAGCATCATTATCGACTTTTCTGTACGATTTTCATGCCATTAAACACCTTCATAATGATAAATTATTTTTATATCCACAATTTTTTTTATTTTTCTTTTGTTTCTTCTTACGAGTCCATAACAAATAAGAAAGCTGCTGCCGCGTTAACGTCTTTCGACCAGACAGTTGTATAATCTTGAATTAAAAATAATTTAGCATATTTATGTGTCTACTATTGTGGGTTCTTTGACCTCTTCGTGAAGCACAAAACCAAAGAAGAACAGAAAGAAGAAAATACAATAAAAAAAATTGGAGAAAACCGAACCGCATGCATTTTTTTACTTACCTTCGCAGATGCATGTGGACACTTATGTTGTTGTCTTCAATGTTTTCTTGCTTCACATTCTTTATTTCTGTTCTGTTCGTTGTTTTTCTTTTCGTTCTTCTTCGATAAAGAATGCATGCGACTTTTTATAGCAAAAGCTTGTAATGATGATGTGATACACGTGGCGCACTATAGATGGATAAAAGTAACAAGTTCTATTGTCTTTATTATACTCGGGCTAGGGGTTGAAGTTAGTCATTTGCGAAGTCGAGATTAAATTTAAAACTTTACTGCATGAATTCATTTGGTTTTTAAATTTTAAATCAATTGAATTAAAGCAGCAATTTTAAGGGGACAACAACGTAAAGAGAAAAGGATTTTACCTGACATAACCAACAATAACCCGTCACAATTATAATGGAAACTTCAACGGAAATTTCATAGTCATAAGTGAATGACTTGTAGAAAATCAGTGGGAATTTTACACAAAACCCTTTTCCCATCATGTTGTTTAGACCTTGGAATCGTCTCAATATTTGCCATAAAATGGCTTAGAAACAGCTGTTATTGATAAGTGCCAGAGCCTATGTTATTTCGTACAGATGTTTGAACGACTGCAGCTTGATCTCTAATCAAAGTATTATCTTAAACCAAGCCACTTCCTTCCCAACTATGCCACTAAACTTAAAAAATTATGCCAGACAGTCTAAACCAATAAAAAAATCATTATGAATAGAAGATTACTTTTAAAAATAGCATTTCCTTGGCTATTGTATATTTAAAAGGAGGAAGGACAAAAGAATTTTGAAAGTGTTTAACCGTCTAAAAAAAAAATTATACGAGTTTCAATTTAATAATTTGTTTACATTTACACAAATTTTCCGCTAGAAAGCAGTCATTTAAGCTGACAAATATGATTTAAATTGGACTATTAACTAGCAAGTATAACTGGAAGCTTAAGGAAATCATTGGTAAGCACATAATTCAATAAAATATCAAGTTAAGAAATTAATTAAAAGATTTTTTTTTTTTTTTTTGTAGCTTTCCTTGGGTATTATTTAGTGCATCGGATTATAGTTTCGGATTTATTTTATCAATTGAGCGAGGAACTTACGAATCTGTAATGTCCATGATTGCAGTTGGTGATTTATGACTAATCTCAGCTCTAATGCCTGCCATCGTTAAATTCAGCTGTTCAATAGAATCGATTCGTATGCCTTTCTTATTGTTCCCATTTGCCTTTATGTAAATGCTTCCGTTCATCATCCAGCAGCTCTCAATTTTCTTATTCTTCTTATATGTCCTAGCTTCCTTAAAAATTCCTTGATTGATTTTGGTCATTGGTGTTTGGAAATGCAAGACTGAAGCTTTACTGATATCATCTTCAGCTAATTTAAATACTTGCTCGCATGTTATTGGGACGTACTTGTCATCTTGCTTTTGGTGTTTTTTTATGAATTCCATAAATCTGAACTTGTCTTTAAAGCTCCAAAAATGTAAAAATGCGGTATTGGATGCTTTACGTTTCCCATCGGCTTTATTCTTTATCAGTGTCAGCTTTCTGTATCCAAGACTTTCAAGTAAGTTCTTGGACCAGTCATTAATGTTTGCGATAAAGTTTTCATTGGTGATATGAATAGGAACGTCTATTATCATGACTTGCTCATCTAATTTGTTTTGTTTGGCCATGTTGATTTCTGCTTGATTATTCTTAGTAATATTAGACCAATCACTTTGCTTTGTATCCAGAATTTTCATTTGTGCCTTAATGTCATTAACTTCTTTCTTGTAAACTGCTATTTCGGCAGATATTGAGTCTATTTTGTTCTCTAGATTCGGTAGGCTTTCGAGACGATTATTTATAGACGCCAAGTCATGTCTCATTGCATTTAGAGTCTTCTCAAGGTCCATTTTTCCAGCTGATGATTTTGGTTTCTTATTTATTTTGTCTTCTGATTCAGGTGATTCCAATTTACGTCCTTTATATACTGTTTCTGGCTTATTATCCTTGCTGTTTAACGAGTTTGATCTTGTCAAGCGTTGACCTTGCATGGAGAATGTAACCTCTTTTGAGTGGGTTATCTTAATTGTTAAAATTCACAGTTCCAAAGCATTCATTAATTAAACTCAATAAAAGAATGTAAGGTCGATCAGGTTAGTTTCACTTTAGGCTTAGCTAAACTTTAATTTATTTAGTGTAACATTTAAAAAAATTAATAATTTACCAAATGAAACGTCTTCTCTCCACAAGTTTAGGAGAACTCCTAGATATGACTTTATGACTATGATATCTAGTTTATGACTATGACTTTGAAAATGAATGAAGCTATGAATTGGCAGTGAATAAATTATTCAAATATTCTTCAGAATTTATTGCATAACTTAATGAATATTCGTCTGACTTCTCATATTTATGGGTTTTAGATTAAATTTTATTATTATTTTGATTCTCGCGATGTATGCACTATTAGTGAAATATAGTCTAGAGGTCTAATACTCAAGTCTGAGATAGAGTCAAGGGGATAACAACATGATGATAAAAAGGTTTATTGGGGAATTCGCATCAATTGAAGCAGCGATTGTCAGCTCATTGTCTCGGTTTATCCAGTTTCAGGATTGAAGTTTGTATGCCTCAAGCTTCAGTGATGAACCTGAGACTCGTTTCTGGGGATACCTGAGTCAACTTATCTTATTATGAGCTGGAGAAAATAACCATTAGTGTTCGATTTATTCAAACAGCAGAGTGAGACTCATTTTTAAAACTGATACCAACATCAACTTTTACCGCCAATTCCAAGCAAAACAGACATTTTTTTATTGCCCATTTGACATCCATAATCGCACCACCATCGCTGAATTCTCGACATTCCTAAATTCATTTAATTAATGTATTCATTTTGATCGTCTATCTGTTTTCTCACACCTGTTCTTTACGACATAAGATTTCGTCCATGCTAATGACACCATAAAGAGATAAGAATTAAGATAAGAAGACCACAGCTGAAAAGTAAATGATCCTTAAACAAATTAATATTCAATAAAGATGAGCAAAATTTTATTTTTAGCAACCAAAAGTAAAATTTTGATCAACATTTTGCAAATGAATGTCTTCCTAAAACTGCACGTCTACCATAAGTAATAATAATAAATTAAGCGTAAATGGGATCTTAATTTATAATTTGCATACGCTCAATGAGAATTGAGAATGAAAAAAATTCTTGATGTAATAAAAATAATAAGAATCATCTGGGCAGTTGTTTAATTGACTATATAGTTGTATCTGAATTAAAGTCATGAGGTCAATTAAATTATTTGCTAAATTCTTTGATTTTTTAAACATTCCACACGAATAGCTTTAATAGATGTTGTTAAAGTCGAATTGAATTATTTTTGTGTGTCTATAAAACTATTTATTTCGTGTCTAGACGTTCAAAGTTGTATTATGGATGAAACTTATTGCTAGTTGTCGTGAGAAGTTTTTGAGAAAAATGTTTTAAAGACTAAAAATATTGAACATCTTAAAAAACCGTTCAAAGTTTTAAAAATTAAAGAATTCTAAAATTTTCTTTTAAATTTTTTGAGATTTGGGAAATTTTTTTAAAAAAAAACTTCTGAAAATAAAAGGTTTCCAGCCTGAAAAACAACTATAAATACAGAATAAACACAAAACAAACATAAAACTTTCTTATTTCTCATTTAAAGTTCATGAAAGCATATTTGTGAGAGTTAGACTTCATTTTTTATTGGTGCAACAAAGTTCTGATTTTCTTTTTCTATTTTTTAAACTTTTTACCCTATATTTTTAAGACTTCCTCTTCAAAACTTTACTTATTTATTTTTGTATTAAATTTAGTCATAATTTCAATTATTTTTCTTTCAAAGTTTTTTATAGGCAATTTTTTCGCAATTTGTTTTATTCATTCTTCATTAACAAAAATATACTTTTTTCAAATGTTTTTATTTGTTTCTTTATTATTATTCTTTTTTAATTTTTTTTAAAGTTTGAACAAGCTTCTTGCCAGAGAAACTATAGTATTATCAATTTTTTCAATCTTCTTCTTTTTCTTCTACTGCTTTATCTCCTTTTCTTTGTCTTATTATAAAAGCTTTCATTAGTGTTTTTGGTGGACTGTAGATTTTGGAATGAGCTTTTGAAGTTTTTAGGATAATATATTTTAATTTATTAAAGGTTTTAAACTGTTTATAGGAATTTTTAATGCACAATGAATAGTTGAATAGCTGATACACTTCTTGACTTAGTCTTTAATATTAATAGCAGCACTAAGTTTAGAAAAAGCTATCAATATATATTTTCTGTACGGTTTAATCAAAATTTACAGATTTCAGTTATCGAAGTTTTAAATGCGCAGGACTGCGCCACTTTTTTGTGAGCAATACTGCGCAGTAGTTTAATGCTTATTTCTGTAAATCAAGCTTTTCTAAACTCTACCAAGTAGAAGTAAAACTATTAGGAAATTTCAAAAATTCATAAAAATTCCCATTTAGAATAAATAACTGAGTTGCCTACTAGAAAATGATTTTATAAATCAAATATGTACAAAGCTAAGCTGCCTAAATTGATTACTTAGTGGATCATGTCTTTAAAAGATTTGTTATATTTTTTATAAATAGTAAATGTGATGTAGTGAAGTAATAAATAGGAAAAAATATACCGTACCCCACCCTGTCCCCAAAATAATCAAATAATCTTCTAAAAGCTCACAACAAGAATCTTACAAATCCATCCAATTTAATTAATAATTTATCCTAATCCTTACAAGGAAGAAAGCAATATTATTGAAAAGCTTTTCGAATAAATATTTAAATTTTTGTCCTTAACCTCCAAAAAATTTCTCATCATTCATTTTCAATTCTTTCTTTTTACGTTAATAAAGCTCACGAACAGCTTTCATTATTTAAAAGAAATAAAAATTAGCAAACACTTTCATCCTAAAAAAGCTTCCTTTTTAATTAATAAGCAAATATAATTTTTTTTTTTCATAGACATAATTTTCTATACTAGTTCCCTTAAAATAATCGCGCACGCCTTTTGATATCATTTCTCTTCCATTGTGGCATACGATAAAACTCGGGCCTTGTGCACTGTTTAAAAGTTTTTGTGGAAATAATCAATATGAATTTCTATTAAGGTCATTGAAAAAAAGCTCATCTTACCCCACAAATCGCCTCAAATTCAGTATCTGATAAATGACGCTCTAAATTACAACGATCAACATCAGCAGGCAATCTGTAGTTTGTGATTAATAGCAAATGATAAGGATAGATTTTAGCTGGCTCGTGAACAAGTATCGAATGAGCCATGTTTGGCAAGGATCTCCTAACTAGTCCCGATTGTGGAACATATTGATTGTAAATTGCACCTGAATATGTACTTGATGCTGGAATATCGGCACCCAATGCTCGTCTATCACCGTCCGTAATTGATCCATCCACGGATACTGTATTGAAAATAATGGATTATGGAAATTTAAAAAATAATGGATTTTAAGAAATTGAAATTTTAACGGATTTTTGGAATTTAAACAATTAGTTTTTAAGACGTTGAATTTCGGAGTATAACCCCGAGACAGATACTCACTATCCGATTTTCCACAAGAGAACTCTGTGCTGTGCGTTTTATCTACTAATGGTCCGAAGGAAAAGTCCTGTTGAAAATTAAAATTGACTTATTTACTTTCGCTATTTATTGAGTAAATATTAAATAGTAAATTTTTCCATTAGAGCTTGAAATTGGATGTGCATGATTCGATTGTAAATATTGAGTCAGTAAACGAAAATATTTAAGATTCTCAATGCCAAAACATTTGCAATTCGTGAATTACACTTGAAAAATTATCAATAAGAGTTCAGAGATGCTTATTGTTGCCTACTTGACTTTATAAATAGAACATTCGAATATGTCAAAATATTTTTAGAAAATTCGACGACCTTGGAGATAGTAGTACATCCTCAAGTGCACCATTGAATTGTCTTTTAAAAATATTTTGCTTTCTATTCTCAAAATAAACAATTTGAGACGATTCGGAGCTACATTCTATAAATTATTATTTATTTCTCATTCTTAGCATCAAATTGTATTACTTTACAGCGAATGAGAACTGGCAGATCATATGTGATGATTGAAATTATTTATACGTTTCAACTCTTCTTAGAAATCAAACTCGTGTACTTCACAAGTCTGGAGAAATTCTCATAAAAGCTACAAGTTGAAAACTCCCATATTTCAAGCTCTAATGTTTACATTAATTCAATATATCATGAGAATGATTTAATAAAATTAGTCTATTTGCATTCATGAAACCTTAACCGATAACTAAAATACCAAAACAACAACATACGCTATACAAAATTATGGTTTTATAATAAACAAAACGTGCAATAATTTAATAATAATTTTAAGGTATTCAGAGAAATGATTTATTTTGCATTTTTTGGAAGGAACATGCTTTAAGATCAAAAAAGTTGAGTGCTCGGAACAAGGTTGATTTAGTTATAATTAAATATCTGATTTATGGAGTATACTGGATGTTTATTTGAATTTGAAAAATGTAATTTAAAACCGTTATTTTCTACTATATTTAAATTTCTCCCGCGTTTTTTTGCAAGTATTTGTTTACAAACAGGACAGTAATTGACAAAGTTGATTTGATTTGTTGCTAATAAAGGCATTAAAAGACTTAATTCAATTCCTCTAATACAGCAATAAATGGCAAAATGTCTGGGTAAGTTTTTCAATTGGAAAAGGAATCAATTGCTATCAAAGTGAACTAGTGCACTAGTGTAAAGTTCAAATTTTGCAAAACTTTTATAATCTTAAAGTTTTTAGATTGAATTTGATTTTCTGAACAGTTTCGGAGTTATTAATATCATCCAATAAAACTAAACCCAAGTTAACAACAAAATTAAATCAACGATCGATAAAAAAATTCCAATAATCTCTATAAAAATGACGTAAGTAATTAACTTTAGCATTTTATTATGTTTACAAGTCAGACGTGCTTGCAAATCATTAATTACCCTCAGCGCGCAAAGAGTAAAAGAGCAAAAAATGTTGCCGATGAAAGAAACACGTCATGAATCATATCCATCATATTCAATCAACTTCATTCAATGATAATTATCATCACAGCATTAATAGACAATTATTATAATTAACTATCAATTACTAAATTGCATTCACAAATGCTTATAACATTGCATGCAAATCAATACTACTTAGGGGTATCATTACTGGCTTCTTTATCATGATCAAATGCACTTTTTTCACATTTCTCATTTCTCTGAATTTTAAAATAACAGATGCATTAAGTAATGAACATAATCACTCTCTCGCTATAGAAAAGAGTTAATGTAAACTAATAATAAAGTCATTTATAATATAACAAAAATATTTTCATAATGAGTGAAAGCACAATAAGCACACGGCGAAAAGATAATGAACTAATAAGAGGGGGCGAAAATCATAAGACATTTCTTTTTGTTTCACGTCATATCACAAACAAAGCTTACAGGAGCACGTTGATCAGATGCCGAGCTACTAAAAGTTTGAGATGGAGTAACAAAACATCCATGACGTTTCTTAACCGAACTCACCGCTATGAATATTATATGTGTTTATGTATTATGTTTTTAGATATATATTTTTGTGAGTAATGTGGTGATGGGCATCAACAAGTTTATATTTAGAAGTATATTTCGGATGCAGTTAAAGAAAGGAAAAAAATGGACGGAAAAAGAGAAAAGCAATTATTTCAGTACTTGTAGTTAACTATGAGTAATGTCCTCGTATTGAGGCTATGAGTTTAGCGCATTTTCCATTTGGGAATTGATTCGAATTTTGATTTTAGGAAATTGGATCTTTCAAAAGTGTCTTAAAGCGACACTAAGGAAACAAAGACAGCCATGTCACATCCAAATGGAATCATAATGAAGTCTTATGATGCTTTAGCTAGAATGTCAAGAGTTTAATCTTGAGAATCTGTCAGAGCTGAACATGTGCAAATCAAAATCTGACAACAATCGCAATACTTCAAAGATACACCCGAGTGAATATTTAAGCGATTTTTCTAGTTTATATCTAAGTATAAACACGACTAATTGCATTTAGATGTTAGAATCGTTTTTAGAACTAGACTAATCATTCAGTTATCAACTCGGGATAATTGAACATTAGTTTGTAACATGTGGGCAAGATCGAAAATGAATTGTTCGTGACGCTGAGCAATAATTTACAATTTTTGAATTAATAATGTGAAATATGTATTTAAGACTTGTGTTTTTCTTAAAGTCCTTGCCAAGACCTATATTTTGGTGTATAACAAGTATCTCTTAGACATTGTATTATAATTAAAAATTAATTTAAAGTGCTTAGCGTCACGAACAATTTTGAGGAAATTCGATTTTACACCATGTTGCTAATTCAATATCTCTCCAACTGATTCACCAATCTTAGAAATTCTTTCACTGAGTAATCAAATGATCAGAATAGTGAATTACTTGCATAAAATTATTAAAATGGCGGTATTTTAAGTTAGATTAATTAATGTTTTAAATGTTAAGGTTGAAATTTCTATATGAAGGAAACATCTTAATAACTTACTTTCATTACAAAAAAGCTAGCAAATATGACTGTCTTTAAGTTTATAAAAGAAAATTTTAAGTTCTACTTTAATTAAGAAAGTTACAGTGAGTTTAAGAAAACTTCTATTAAACCATTACTCTTTTATTATTTCAATGATCTCTCAATTTGAAACTATAACAATACATTAGATGCATCTTTTTGCAAAAGAAAAACTTAAAAATCTTTATGGAAAGTCAAGAAAATCATAAAAGTTTAAATAATTAAACCAAAATATTTGTAACGGCTTTGAAAAATTCAAATTTGGTGTGAAATCATGAGCAAAACATGTTGCTCAATTGAAATTACAATGTTTTTAAGTTAATTTAACTCGATTTTAAGCATTTTCAATATACAATTACAATACACAATGACTTTTTAATCATTTAAAAATTGTTTTCGGTCAACTAGAGTTAGTATTTTTGCTGAAAAACGAATTTTATCAACAAGTTGATTTTTTGTTAAAATAACTAAATCTATTATTTTTTATTAAGCTTTAGTCTGATGTTATGATAGAAAATACCATAACCTACAACTTTTGTCAAGGACTTGAACATTTAGCTTGCTTTTTTCTTGAAGAAAAATCAATTTCAAATGTGAATTTGTTAATTAAGCTAACTTATTAAACCGCCATTTTGAAAAATGAAATTATAAGTTAAACTTTCTGAAATTTGCTATCGACCAGTGAAAAAATCATACAAATTGGATGCTCGGAAGCAGAGAAATCAGCATTTGAAGATTTTTTCCCTTTTTTTCTGATCTTGCCCATGTCATATCCCAAAAATTGGAATGATCTCTGTATAGAAAGTTTTGAAGTCCAGATTTCTTCATATGTCTTAATCTTAAACTAGATTAACCATCTTCATAGTTTCCAAAACACTTTATATCAACTTCAGTTCATCCTTTTATCAACTGCTTATCTGCACAGAAGCTTATCAACAGCACTTATGGATTCGTTACTTATTTCCAGAGATCGAAGCCGATTTTTTCGGCTTAACTCAATTTTTGATTTTTTTGATAGAAAAAAGCCATTCGACACCCATTTCAAGTATTTAAATTGAACTTTACATGCTTTACTATGATTCTGTGTAATATTTTGTCAGCATGTAGCTGTAGTGAGCTCAGAATTTCAATTTAGCCGATTTTAAGCCGAAATTTAAGCCGATCGGCTTAGCATCGACTAAATTGAAATTCTGAGCTCACTATAGCTACATGCTGACAAAATATTACACAGAATCATAGTAAAGCATATAAAGTTCAATTTAAATACTTGAAATGGGTGTCAAATGGCTTTTTTCTATCAAAAAAATCAAAAATTGAGTTAAGCCGAAAAAATCGGCTTCGATCTCTGCTTATTTCTCGAAATTCTTTCCACATCAAAACAAATCGAATCCATTTTAAATGAAATCACTCTCTTTTATCACAAAATGTCTCATCGCAAAAAGCTTCAACTTTTATGGACGTTCGATTAAATATTTGTATGACGTCCATTGATAACACTTCACACTTTTTTAAGTCTTTGAGATATCTGAACTAAAATTACATAATGTTAATCATCACTAGTCACTTCACTTGCACGTTCAATTCAAGGTCAGAGTCAGTTTTCAACAAGTTAATAACAATTAGCACATAATGTTTACTTGAACTGCTATTAATTTGGAAATTTCTGTGCCTGGCACTGGTTATCGATTTTGAGAATCTGTTGATATTACTCGATTAGACAATATAGAGCCATTCTAAAATCAAGATTGAAACCATTACATCCAATCCCAATTAGATTGACAGACATCCGGAAAGGTCTCCGTAACAAAATTCTAATTCCTGCAGGAAAATGCGCTTAAAATTACTTTCTCAATGCTAAATTATGTATTAAATGAAAAAAAAAAGATGAGAGTAAAGAATTTAAATTCTCCTTTCATAACATAAACACATTCCATAACCAACTAGCTAGATAAATTAGCTTCCTCCAAACAAATTTCAATTATTAATGATGTGTTAATCTTTAATTATGACTTTGTTTTTTCAACAGAACTGTTCTCACTTGAGTTGTTCAAAACTTACGGAACTATAACCATTACGAATCGATGCTGGGAGTGTTGAATGCTTATAGCCACTTCCTGGCTTTGGTGATCGATATGAATTTATTGCTAGTGGTTTTCAACGATTTTTTTTTGTGTTTTTTAAATTTTTTTCGATTTTTTTAAAAAATGGTTTTTAAATAATAAGAAAAATTAAGGAAAATAATAAGAGGTGAAAAGTGAAGGGAATTATTTACCATTGTAACTATTGCCAACGCCAATCGCACGACCAACTGAACCTCTATAGCTAATGGATCGATCAAACATCTCTTCTTCATATGGACGTGAGTGATCCAAATTTCTCGATGGACTCGCACCAATCGGACTTTCATATCTAAGCATGAATGTGAGAGAGAATTTTTATGGATTAGAAACTTTAAAATGGGGCACGGTTGCATAGCATTTCCATTAATAGGTCAAATAGCTTACCTCATTTTGTATTGTGGCTCTTTCATAGCCGATGGAAAACGTGATGCATTGCGTGGATCTAAATTATTCTGCTTCCATATTTTATATTTCTGGCGCTCCTTTATATCCTTTAGAATAACTTTACTCATACCGGAATTGATTTTCTTTAATTCCTCTTCTTCCTTCTTTAATTGAGGTTCAATGTTCTCAACGTTTTCTGCTTTATCGACTTGATCCTCATCATCCGAGGTATGAACACCTTTATATGAGTCTGAGTATCGACGTCGTCGTTCGGGATCCGTATAAGGATACGGAGGTGCTGGAAAATCATCTCGTTCAATTTTTGGCTTCTCGTTAGGATTCGGCTTTTTCGCACCTGGATAATGACTTAATTCAATTGGTTCTTCATTCATCATAGCCGGACTCTTTGGACGTGGCGTCTCTGCACGGATACTATCCACTAAAACCTTCATAGCTGAGCGACTTCGCGATTGAGGACGGGATGGTGGTCGACCTGAAGACGATGGTGCATAATTTGGTCGATGAAAGTGAGGCGACACGGGTTTCTTATCATAAGGATCGATTGGTTTCTTCAAGCCAGTTACTTCTTCTGTTAAATAGCTATATGTGTATATTCTTGAAATATCTTCACCATAAGTTGATGATTGATTATATTCTCGAAGCACTAAACCAGGACTTGTTGTACGATGATACTAAAAAAGATTTATCGAAACAGAAAAATTTAAAATGTGAATCACTTAAGTCACTTGAAGATTTTTTTTTGGAATTTCTTATGGATTAACAAACATAAATAAATGATAATTATGTCTACTCTAAAACAAAATAAAAACAAGAGGAATAACTCACTTTTCTACCAGAATATGGACTACAAACTGAACCGCTTATACTCGGGGTGTGCGAACGTAATGAAAACTATATGTTGATGCACAGTATGATCAAAAAATAAATATACATAATACCAAAAAGAAAAGAGAAACGATAATAACAAAATCAAATTTAAACAGAGTAAAAATGATAAGAGTCTACAGGAAAAATAGAAGTAATAACTTAATAGCACCATCGTTTAGCAAGAAAAGGTGAAATCTTATCGAATGAAATGTTTTTTTTTGCGATTGTGTTGTTGCCTCAACTGATAACGATGATGTAAGAGTACTCACTTGTATTTCGCTCGCGCTATTGCTTATTCTATCGACTTCTGCAGTCGTACTGCCATTGAAAATCATGCCATTTTCTGACGGTCCTGGTCCACATCGTGGATGCTAAAATAAATTGTAAAAAAACCTCTTAGTGACTATTTTAAGTTGACGAACTAGGATTAGGTCATGAAGTGACCATCCTGACGAAACTCTCGGGTATTTCAACAGCACCGTTTAGCATTTGTCACACCCAAAAGATCAAACAAAACTTAAACTCACCCAGATTGCCGTTCCTTGGAGATACATTTCCTCGCCATCGCCAAATGGATCGCCGCATTTAGAACAACGAGCACATGTGGGATGAAAATGATGATTATCGCCAGCTTGTAGAACTTTTCCACTTATATAACGTTCGCAATAAGCGCACTTAACACCAAATGACTTTTGATAATCTTTCTCACAATATGGCTGTCCATCTTTTCCCATATATTCGCCACTTAATACTTGACCACATACCATGCAACTATGGATTGAAATAGAAATAGAAAAGTATTTAGCGGATATGAATATGCAAGAATCTCACCGGAAGCACCAAATATGCCATTGTCGATCTAATGCAATCAAAGCTTGTCCCTCCTTTAGCTCTGTATTACAGCCAGCACAATTATTTGGATCGATATCTTTTGGGCTTGTTGTTTTCTGCAATATCTCATTATGTTGTTGTTGTGCTGTCGCTCTTGTTGGACTAGCATGCTGTTGAGTTATTTGCTTCTGTTTTGGCGCACCACCGTCAATACATTTCTCGCATAAAATCTCCTTTCCGGTGTTTGTGACCTTACGAAAAATCGTTAGTTGTTAAACAAAATATTCATTAAGTATGTCATGTATGTGCATTCCACGGGTAAGGGAAATTATGGCAAGCAAGTGCGAATTAACATTTAAGGTATACATTGTTTCTTATAATTACCTTACTACCGGATTCAAAGGGTAGATTGCATTTAGTACATGTAAAACATTTCTGATGGTATGTATTACCCATTGTGGATACAACCTCTCCTTCAACATATTGCTGACATACGGCACACTTTGTACCATATAGTTTCTGATAATCTACTACACAATAATAAATGTTATCTTTTGCAAAGAACCCGCCCGCTGCTAAACTTTTATTGCATGTTACACATTGAAAGCATGTCTTGTGGAAGTATTTGTCCGTAACCCGTAATACCTCACCGGAACATTTTTTCTGGCATTTTGCACAGTAAATCTTTGTTTTACCTACAAACAAGAGCAAGAAGAATTATTTTTGTGAGATCAAAAAAGAAGCCAAATATTTAGGTTTATGTGTTGCACAGACAATAATAATAATAGTGACGCGTGGAAGCGTAGAGAACAACTTCATTTTCGGGAGTCATGAAATCAATTACTTTATTACTCGTGTGTGCGGTTTAAAGTGGATGTCATTTTAAAGGCATATACACAAGCAAACATAATCATCATAATAATAATGAAAACATAATGCTGTTGCTCTTCTGGTCGAAGCGCGCTTACTGCTTTTGTAGTAACGTATGAACACATCATTCTATTTTTAGAAGGCATTTACTGTTGCTGCTGAACATTTTTTTTATATTTTTTATTCATTCTTTTTTTTTGGAATTGATGCTGCTGTCGGTTCTGTATTTGTGTCTCGAAAAAACAAACCATTCTCGGTTATTTGCCTTCTTTTTTTATGAAGCGAATTGAATTCATTATTATTATTATTGTGGTGCGGTTAATTTAATTCTTATTGGACCTTGTTATAGTTCGAAGCTAAATGCAATAAGAATCTTGTTTTTATGACGATTTGTAGTAGATTGAGAGTGGTTAAGTAATGATTTATAGTGTTGGGTATTAGGTGTAAACCTACAAGCCTAGAAATAGTGTTTGAGATGAGAAGATGACTTTATTGACTAGGTTCTTGACTTCCTATTTTCACCAGTTTGTAGTCAGTAGAAGTTTGACACTAGGAACTTGTCACTGGTCTCAAGTCGCTTATTAATATTCCCATGTTACTGCAATCGAGGGATTATTCATTAGCTGCTTGCTACTAATCACTATCTACTAGATACTAGCAACGAATTAATAGCTACTATATACTATTTATAAGTTACTAGCTTCTAGCTACTAGTTCTTAGTCACTATTCTCAAGAGATAAATAAAGATGAGCTAAGAACAAAACGGGTATCTAGTCATCACAAGTAAACGACCCGAAAGAACATTTCAACAAATCCAATTAGAATGTGTTGGGCATGATGACATAATTTTTTTTTGTGTACTCTTCTTATTAGAATCTTCTCAATACTCGATGTATACAGAATGTCTATATATTAATTGCTTACTTCACTTTGTAACTATACAGTTCCTCTCTATACTTCATACTTTATCTAATCGACATGAAAATGCGGTAATATTTCTTCATAATATTGTAGTCATGTGCATACATGTGTAGATATATATGGTATAATTTTTTTTTTTTTTTTCATTTCTTTCCTTCAATAAATATTTTTATGTACTTTTCTTCTCACACACATTTTTACTCGAAAAAAAAACCGAAAACGCCCAAAGAGAAGGCAGCAAAAAAACTAATTTTGATGAGATTCTGCTGCATAGATATTGATTTAATTAAAATCACTGAACGTAAAAGGTCATAAAATTTGAACAATGTTTAATCACGGGCTATAACACATCATATCACGAGATGAATATCCATTCTAATGAAGGCAATAATGAAGTATTTTTATCGACCGCAGTATAATTTGTTCCTCTCTCACTCCAATAAGATTGTAATCATCGTTAATTTTGCATTTTCCAGCACACTTTTGCTAATTATAATTCACATCCAGTTAATGACTATTTATGATCCATCAAGGTGATTGCAATTGAGTCCAGAATTTTTTTTTTGTGATGTGTCAGATTGCAGATTTCGATGAAGGTAAGGGAAAAATTTTATGTTTCGCCATTTTTTCCTGACTTTAATTTTTTCATTTGCTATTTTTCCCATGAAATTTCACTTTTGTGACTTTAATTTTCACTTTCCACACTCACTTACCCATTTTATAAGAATATTATTCCGAAATTTTTAAACCTCAATTGCTTGTATACTACTGCAAGCGATAAATATATGAATGAAATTAACTTGAAGATGAGAAAAAAAAATCGGTGAATATGCTAAAGTTTCGGGAGGCGTAACTGAGTAAAGGCGATGCTAAAGTGTGCTAAAAATTTTGATTTGTTTTTCTGTCAAAAATTGTGATTTTCTTAAATTTTTTGCAATTTTTTAGGCAAGTTTTACAGTCTTTTATCATATCAAACAAATTTTATCTTCAAAGTGTCAAAATTCAACAAATTTTCAATAAGCTTGGAACGGTTTTTGAAATTTTGATTTTAAAATTTTTCCCACAGACATGAATTTTCATTCCAATCAGAAATATCAAAAATACCCATTGAAGAAGCAACATCCAGCTTATTCATCAATAACACCATCCTTAAAACTTTCCGAACTACAAGTTTTAACCTTCAATCATTAAAATTAACAGCAATAAGAGTTAACTCGAAAGATAAACAACAATTACAAGAACAACACATCACCTACACCGAATTCAACAAAATAGTAACAGAAATTTTTTGAAACAGTACAGTTCAAAACAAAAGAAGTTTGCAGTCAGCAGCAGAAATACATTTATATCGTTTCTCTGCAAATCATAGTTTTAAAATGCTCAAAATAGTATAAATTAGTATAAGACAAGTATCGAATAATAGTGTTTTAAAAGAAAGATATTGAACCAATAATGATAACTGCAGGAATTTCAAGAATACTAATGTAAGTATTTTGTAGAGTGAAAAAAAACATCAATTTTCATTCTCGTATTGATTTTTCACTATAGTGACGAAATTTTATTGAATTTAATATTCACAAGCGAGCATTTAAATTGTCTGAAAGTTAATCGAGTTCATAAATTCGTCGAGTGAGATCAGACAGTCTCGCGAAGTTGAATCACATTAACTTGCTTTCCATAAAAGGAGTAAAAGACATTTTCTGATTTGCCATCTTCAAGGCGAAAATAAAAAAAAAATAATTCTATGGAATCGCGAGACAGAGAGAACTATAAAACAAAGAAGAAAAATCAACAACAAAATATGCTAACTGACTTACTCGCTGCTTAGATATTCTATTGAAATGAGCAACAAATTAAAGATAATTGAGTCTGTTTTTACATTTTTTTACCCCAAAAAAAAACATCAGTTCTGTTTCGTGTACTTAAGTACACACAAAAAATGTGCTCGTTTTGCATGACAAAATAATTGCGATTATTAATTAACCGGAAATCTGTATAAATTCTAATATAGACATTCAATGATTGCAAATATTTTATTATATGAAGTAGCTACTAGCTTCTTCTTATGTCTATTCTGCATATTCATTGGATTTTAAATGATTCATAAATCTTTATTATAATAAAATTTCTGTCTCGTAGGTTTATTGTTCCTTCTCCATAATACAGTAACATGTCATTTCTCTTTTATTATTACTTCTTCTTTGTTTTATCATTCAAAACTAAATTATTAGACTTGTATGGGATGTAAGGCTAAACATGAATCAAATTTATCGAATATAAAGCTAATGGTGACATTCTGCTATTTATATTATTACTATCTACATCATATGTGAGATGTTTATCATTAGAAACATTTAAGTTATGTCTATCCACCTATTCAACTTTTATTTTAGAATAAGTAGAGTGGAACGAGATATACAAGTAAGTTTGAATGTTCTATTGGGCAGTATTGTGAAATAGCGCATGGAATTTCGTAATGTTTTGAATTTTTGGAATTTAAGATTAGGTTTTGAGTCATTTCTTTGTTGGAGTGACGTAGTAAGGGCAATTAAATTGAGGATAGACTCAAAAGCATTATTAGTCAATCTTAGAAATAGAATTGCTTTGTTGATCGAATGAAATCCATCTGGGATATTACAGAATTGATCAATTCATCAGTTTCAAGTGCTTTTACAAAGATTCTTAATAGCAAAACTTAGTTTTTGGTAGAATAGTAAATCTTTATCAAGCTACAACTCTGTTCTAACGATTAGACTGAAAATTGAGGATCTTAAGTCGTAATTTCTACTTTTATACATTTAGTAAGTTTTAAATACAAACAAAAATTCGACTATAGGCTAGATTGATTCTAAGTTATTAAGCCACATGATTATTACAATTATGATTGGTGTGATAAGTGTTAAAATCCACAGAACCAATCAAATAAAAGATTTGGAATCTCACACCAGATATAAGAGAGTTAAACATGATCGAAAATAATTGTTTACTCGGTTTGATTGACGATTATCCCAAGTAACCAAAAGGTAGATCAATGTATTCCATGAGAATCTTCCATCGGAAGATGATGTCCTATGAAATTGGAAGATAAATGTACAATGCAATAAGACATCAGTGTAATACATCAAAGGAATATGAATGGAAAACAAATGGATTACTTTTTTTGGATAAAACACGTGCTAGCTTTCACGTGTTCTTTTGAATTTTTCTTTTATTTGTGTAAATTATTGTAAAAGTATTAGTGTGCACTTAATTAAACTACACTAACACTACGAAAAAGAACAAAAGGACTTAATTTAATTAAGTCGCATACTGATGAACGCCCAAGACACGCACACGAACCTGAGGAAGATAAATAATTAATTGAAAGCCCCATACAAATTTAGAGAGAACTTATAATATTGATTTCTCCGAGCTCTTGTGAAGTATATGACAAATGCCAAATTTATTTTTCGTAGGATTTGAACCTAAGCGGGCTCAAGTTATACTTCGATGGAACACTTTTGTTAAATGTTGAATAAGTGTCAGAAATCAAAAAATGTTTACGTTTTTCTCTTTTCCTGGATATCTACGTAATTATCTCAATAATTAGTGTTATAAAGTTTTTGAAAACGAGCATTTTCATGTGCATAACATATCACAAAGTCTTTTAATTAACCCAGAAAATCCAAAAAACTATCGATTTCTGACACTGAAAAAAAGTTCCATTATTTTGAATTTTCACAAAAAATACTAATAACTTTGCGAAAACTTCATTACAAGATACAAAAATTATACCAAATTGTAGGATTTTCAATTCTTTTTAATCCTTTGCTATTAAAATCTTCAAAAAGCTTGTTTAAATTAGTTAAATTAATGATTTTTCTGAAACACTTTTTCATGACGGTCAAAATTTGAATTATTCCATTCGTTTGTTTACATCACAAAAAAATATGTGAAGAATTAAAAAAATCGTTTGAAACTCATTAATTACACATATTTGGAAGCTGAAATATTAGGAACAGATCAAGAAAAATTTATTGGATGCATTACAATGCTCAAAAGAAAACATTGATATTAATTTAAATGATATTTTGCAAAATAATTTTTCATTTTATTGAAGGGGAAAGTAACAAAAATTGAAATTCAATGGAACTTTTTATTCGACCGAGCCCTTTTACATATAATAAATAATGATACATTTGATCTTCCATCGACGTTGAAGGAAGATTATATTAAACATTTTGGTTACTTGGGATCACGTTTGAGTTTTGTTCCGAGCTGTAACTAGAATAAAGTTACTAAGTTGTCATAGCTTTATGGATTGCTAGCTAGGTGCGTGTCTATTAGATCTTGACAAGGGCGTAGCTTAGGAAAAAATCACAATACCCTGTAAAAGCATAGCAGTGCCCCTAGATTGGTCAGGCAGCTCTTACATTAAATCAAGGTTACTTCAATGACTTTTAGTCTGTTAAGAAACCTTAATTATTTAAGCAAATTTCCGATTTTAAACATCCCTAAATGGAAAATATCTCTAGCTCTAACAATAGCTTCATTATATAACACAAAAAATGGCATTTCGAGTCCTCATTCCCAAATTCACTACAAAGCACAATGCACCCATACGAGTTATAAGTCACATTAATAAATCGATGTCGTCTGCAAAAAAAAAGCAACAGATTAGTGTCTATGAATGAACCTCCTTTAATAGACTTGACACGATTGCATGACAACCCGACACACAAATTATTCACAAACAGTGACTCAAAGACTTCCGCACAAAAGCGCTAAAAATATGGAAATAAAATTTCTCTCCTTATTCTGGTTGCTTCTTTGTCTTTTCTTGTGCTTTGCTCCTCCTGTCATTAGCAGTTATGTCTAAGGTGTTAATAATATTTCGTACTCGACTTAAGACTTTGAAAGTTTTCTTTTTGTTTTCTTTTAAAATAATAATAAAATTCACCGTTATAGACAGCAAGTAGATGTAATGTGATTTGCGCGAATTATTTCATCATAAAAAAATAACATTTATGCCCACTTGAGAAACTTATTTAATGTTATTTCTAATTCCAATTATTTTCTCTTTTAAAAAACATTTAGCTTAGTTTTCGGTATTCTTTATCCGGCGTATAGTAGCTATAAAGCAATACGTACAAAAAATGTTAAAGAATATGTACGATGGATGATGCATTGGATTGTGATGGCTGCATTTCAAGTAATTGAGACATTCAGTGATGTGTTTCTATGTTGGTTTCCATTTTATTACGAGACAAAAGTTTGCATTGTCTTTTGGCTTTTGAGTCCGATGACAAAAGGATCATCAATACTTTATAAGAAATTTATTCATCCAAAGTTATCACGACATGAGCAGGAGATTGATGATTATATCAATCAAGCGAAAACTAAGGGTTATTCAACTGTGATACAACTCGGCACAAAAAGCTTCGATTACGCTTCAAAATTTATCGTTGAGACTGCGATCAAGGTTAGTGTGTACACAACTTAATTTTTTCAACTTGTTTACTTCTTATTTTTCCTTCGTACAAAAAGAAATGATCGTTGTTTTGCAAACTTAGCAAATTAAAGGTTTTAAACTTGTAATAGATGAAATTGGTATTTGGTATGTTTCTATTTTGAGATATGTGCTTGTTTAAACTTGAAAATATAAAAGATAAAAAATTGAGTTCAAAAGCTTTTAAGTTGCAAGTGAAACTTCAATACTTAGAATTTGATTTTTAACGAATTTTAAATTTCTTTATAAATTTAATGTTAAAGGTTTAAATTTTACCGGTTTTTGAAAATTTAATGTTAAAGGTTTAAATTTTCAAGAACCGGTAAAATTTGAATTTTCTAGAGCCGTTAAAATTTGAATTTTTAAGAATCGTTGAAGTTTAAATGTCAAAAACCGTTAACATTTGGATATTAAAAACCGTTGATTTTTAAATTTTTATCATAAAATAATTTAAAAGCTCTAGTAATTAGCTAATCAATCTACATAAAAAGCCATAATTTACACTTTACATTCCTCATCAAACTCAATTCTTAACTAAACACTAAAGCTTGCATGTCATGATTGCTCGCAATTTTCAGAATTTTTGTGTAAACTGAAAAAATTATTTCCATGTTCTACAAATGTACGAAGCATATAATCTTTTAATAGAATTCTATGTTTACAATTTTTCACAATACACGTCAATTACGCTGAACATATGAGGCATTTAATTGTACGAGGAAAAAGTAAAAAATCAGTTCTATTCGATTAATTATTGTGCCTTTCAATTTTATTATAATTATTTTTGTGACTAATTAATAACTTTATCTCACTCACGCGTGCATGCTTTTAATTTTATTTTAATTTGCAAAAAAAAACTAAAAACACACAAAAATTTTACATACACCACCAAATTTAGGCCACTGGTTCGATGATCATTAATCCACAACAATTGACACTACCTTCATCCACACACAACAATAATTCTAATAAAAATAACAATAATAAGCACACGTATGATGTTGTTGATCATGTGCATGATATGGAAGAATCGATATTAGTAAGGAATGTAACGCCAAGTTTTGTAATTGATGATGCCAACGACGATAATGAATTCAGCGATGGGCAACAACAACAACTACAACAAGAGAGTCTGTTGATACATGAAAATAATAATTTTGAATTTAGCGATATTGATGAACCTCGAATGACTCGTAGTCAGTCAAGAGCCAAAGAAAATTCAGTACCGCCTATAGACGAGCCTAAGCCAGCAGCACTTAAACGTAGCAAGAAGACTACAAAGACAGAACGAGTTCGACGACGTAAGCCACTTAAAGAAGAACCAATTTCTGACGATGACATCATAGAATAGACAAATCTCCGACAAATTATTGGAAGTTCTTAGACAACTTTTTCCTCACTTCTTTCTTGTCATTTTCATAGAACTTAATTTTTATGATTTTTTATTTTGTGATTTTTTTTTGATATTTTAATGCAAAATAAAATTATCATTTGCATATTTTTGTGACTTTAACAAACTTTTTTATGTGCTTATTTTCTGTTCCACTAATGGGATATCTTCTTATTTCTCAATTAATTATGATTTCTTTTTGGACAGCATTAAAATAGCTTCTTAATTAACTTTTAATTATTTTTTTTTGCAATATGAGTGTTTTCTTATTTGGTATGTAGCATCAAGTATAAGGGTTTGTTTGTAAATGATGTTTGAATTTTTAAAATTGGGTGGGTCACCTCCTTTGCAGGACTGGAACTAGAAGTTTAAAAAACTGTAAAACTATTCAATAGTTTCTCTCAAAGAAAAGTCTATGCCTCTTATACTGAATAATGCAGGGGATCCCTTGTTGTATCGTGACAATCTGGTAGGAATCGAACCCACGACTTTACAGAACATAGATTATTATAATAGATCAGTAAAGTGTTACTTAACCGCTTTGTTAACGTATGCCTAGCTCTATCTAATGACATATTAACCTACATAAAATATAATCCATAACATAAAACATCACTTATGAACAACCTCACTGAAAAGAAATCTTTTTAAAATTCTTTTCCCCTAAGGGGCCATTCACTTATTACGTAACGCTTTTAGGGGGGGGAGGGGGGTCTAAGATTTTGTTACGGTTCAAACAAGGAAATTTTTTTTTCATACAAATTTTGTTACGAGGGGGGGGGGGGTCTAAAAAGTCATTTTTTCGCGTTATGTAATAAGTGAACAGCTCCTAACTGAATCTCAGACAAAAAAAAAGCTTGCAAGTTTTGAAATGAAAATTAATGAACATATCCGTTATTCAATCTTTTACATTTACAGAGTGCGCAAACAATAAGAAAATCATATTCGTTAAGTGATTTAACAGAAACGGATGGTGTTAATGAAATGCAAAATGTTCCTATACGACAAAGAACATCAAGGCCAAAGCATAATGCAATAACGAGATCGTCATCGTTGAGTAAGCGGCCAACTAGTGAAATTTATTTTCAGGAACTGGAAATTAAAGACTCACCGAAAGTAACGCAGAATGATTATAAGTAAGCAGATAGAATAAGGAAGGAAATGGGTGAAGTTGATTGAGAATTTTTTATATTTTGACTTTTTATAATAATGAGTAAACGTTGAATCACTCGGAAAGAGAAGTTGCAATCAATTTTAAGCTGTTTTTCGGCAATTTTTTATTGATTGTATGAATCTTAAATCACAACTAAAGATTAAATGGATTTTTGAGTGCAAGTTTGGTATGGAATTTTGCTTCATGGTGGACTTTTTGGTTTAACTAGACTTTAATCTCGATCCTAGTGCTACTTGACAATATACTTATACCAAGGTATATATTGTGGTTCGTGGTAAACCTGTGCATTCATTACGAGTGTTTCCTGGTCCAAAGAAGCTAGCTGGAGCCCCTGGACATTTATCTCGGTATAAAACTACTCCAAGTCTTAATCTACTAGTAGTATAGATCTATTACTACCTTATACCTATCCTCGGGTGTCACTAGGAGTAGGTGTCGCTGTATTAAGCAGTTAAGTTCTTTGCTGGTTAAATAGGTAAGGCGCTTGGCTCAAATTTGGGATGGTAACTCGAAGGTCGTCGGTTCGAATCCAGCCATTTTCAAATTTGTTCTTTTTCGGAAATTTAGATACTTCGATTGCTTAATGTAGGAGATCAAGTCATAATTGGGCATTTGGGCAGCGTTGGATTAAGGAACGGGTCAGGAACTTGAAGTGTATCGGGAGAAATAGGAACGAGAGCTACAAGATTACCCACGAATGGAATATTGTTATAACGGTTTTTAAGATTTCTCGAAGTTACATTATCCTGGGAACAAGATATTTGAGTCTAGAAGGGAACTTCGAGTATCCCTAGAATCCAGCCCCTGTCGTATAACTCAAGCAGTTCAATTAGAGTTACTTTTACTCAAACTATACAGCATGACTCATCAGTTTAACGCCACCATACCTTTCAGTCTAGTCTTTAAGTATTTTTACAGCAGCAAACACAATAACCACGTAATTCAATCATAACGCAATTTGATGCAAATAAATAAACAACATCGATGACTCCTTGTTTATTCTCAATTAACTTCATCTCCTGCCAAACATTTACTTAACCCACAAACATCAAAAATTGATTTATTGTTAAATAATTTTTCACACATTTCATTTTCATTTTAAGCTACGTCCGATCAATTGAGGACATAAGTTCAGGCTATTCATCAACAATGGATCTATCACGTTCAGAATTATCGCGAACCTCATCAAATGCATCACTAGCATTACGTAGTAAGAAGTCGAGTCGTGATAATATGTCAATGTCAGTTTCTTCAACTCTCCCGAGAAGGCGAGCAAGTGAAAAGAAGCAAATGCGAGCAACCAAATAATAAATACAAAGAAAAAAAAATTGATAAATTAAATTTGAGAAGAGAAAAGGAAATGCCAAAAAAAAAACAGCAACAAGAAAACTTTAATGTCTATTTCTTTTTAATCCTTTTTGTTCCCCATCGATCATTAATCAAGTATATAAATATAGAAAGGATCGAAACTCGAGCGACACTGCACTGTAAGAGTCTCTGTGATACATGAGAACTCTAGGAAGTAGGTTTCATTGTATGCATCTACACCTAACCTCGAGTATATGAGCTGTATACACTTGGAGTAGTTTTAGGTTCATAACAAGCAACCCGCTCCTGAAGAATACGTTGTGCCGCTCGGGAAAGCTGCTAGAATTTGAACCCCACATTTATGATGGCGGTGGTGCTAACTTTTCATGATAAAAAAGACTTAATAGCCTTGAAATGCTACTGACTGTGGATGGCATATTGAGAACGAATTTCTGCTTAAGTATTTTTAAAATTTTTTACATATCCACAACGTTTGGTGCAAAAAAAACACTCACATCCACTCATTAGTTCTTATGATTATTTTTCATGTGATGATCAGGGGCGTATCCTTGACATTATTCTAAGTACGCCCCTGACAATGATTTCTCGCTCATATGCATAACTTATCACATTATATAGGCATGAATAGAGCATTCTTAATCTTATTGTATTCCTCTCGAGAGAAGAAAATTTTTTTCCTTTTTTTCCCTCACAAAGTCAAGCATTTTTCTCATTTTTTTTCCTTTTGTTTAATTTGTAAGATTCATTTTGTATTTTGTGACTTCTTTTATGGACTGTAATAATAAAATTTTACTGATGTTGAAATAAAGAGATAGAAAAATATGAAAATTACATTTTAATTCTTGATATGTGTGTGTGGGGGGGGGGGGGGGTGGGGTATTTATAAATGATGGTCATGTATAGAAGAGTTGGGTCAGATCTAGACAATTCTTCAAAGTTGAATGTCTATATTATCCTGATACAACATTTCAGCAGGGGAGTAACTTAACAAATGTAAGGATGACTTGATGTAGGTTATGAAGGGGGGGGGGGGATCTCATAGAATTTAGATACAGAAGAAAACCTTGAACACCATTTGTAAATGAATTCCATTCCTGGGAATTAAACTTATTCTAAAGTTTTAATTACTGTCATTAAACTTTTTCATACAACCGCTGCTTTTTTACTGTAGCTGACTACATGTTCTGGCTAGTAACAGCAATTTATACATGTTAAGTTTACAAATCACTCTAATTTAATCCTTTGAGGACTGTGTTAATTTATATTCATTTTAAGGGACACTCAAAATGAAATTTAGAAGCTTTTGAACATTGATATTGCAGATTTACAGCTCTTTATATTGAATTATGGATGGAATACTGAGAATTGAGTATTAAAGATATCGATGAATGTCTTTTGGATTTCTTCGAATTTTAGAGCTTTAAGTTTCAGCCTTTGTGTTCCTTACACAACAGTTTAAACAATTCAAAAATTCTCTGGTGTAGGCTTACCTGTGCCTTCAAGGGAACTCCTTTAACTAAGTTTGGTATCTCAACTCTAAGAAGATTCAGTTAGGAAAACTTGGCATTTGACCAAAGCTTATATACTTTAATCCTTTTGTCGAGACATCATTCAAATGCTAATCTTCAAAGCAGATACAAAAGGAACATTGACTTTTCAGAATTACAATATAAAAATTTAAGCTTCCTAACAACACAAAACTGGTTGAATTGGTGCATCACTGTTTGTTAAACGTTTACTGCCAAAAATTCTCCATAAAAAGTTCAAGTTGTCATCCCATTTTCCAAGAATGAATTTGGCTAATCGATTTCTCGAATGTATTTGACTTCTATAACTTTTGTGGGAAACGCTGTGGGACATAATTGTGAATGATTTGTGAATTAATAAAGTTACACTGGGCAAATGAAATTAGTTTTCGGATGTCACATTGATGTGGATTCAAACTTTCTTTTAAGGGGGGTTCTGAAAATTCAATTTTGCATCCTTTTAACTAGGGTATTACTCATGATGTCTTCCTCTCAATTTCCTCTTCTTACTCCTGTTATGCTTCTTTTTTGAAGAGACGTAAATGCATCCTGGAATTCTTGAATGACATCATGCTTCACTTTTTTGCAATTGCATTAAATTTCAAAGTGGGAGTCTGAATCAGCAGACTCATTTGTGTGTAGGAATAGCATGCAAGCAACCTGTTGTTGACATTTTCCTGGAAATTCATCTGTTCTCTTCTATTGTTAGATGCCTGACAATGTATTCTCATCGAAACAGAAAAATAAGAGCTTATTTTCTAGTCAATTTAAAGACTCATTTTATGGATGGAGGTAAGGCGCATCATCAGACATTTTTCGGAGAGATTGGGGAGTTCTTAAACAGCCCTAGCATGGCTACATCATTAGTGAGTACCAAAATAAGTCGAGAGATTCCAAAACTACTGTCGATGGATATTCATGGTCATCCACGAAATGACAATCCGATCAATAAGCCACAAGAACAATTAAAACCCTGAAAAAGCAATCGAAATAAAAAAAAAGTTTTTGTTTTATTTTCTACAAAAAGAAAAAAAGACTTTTTAATGCTTATATTTTTTCACAAATTGTTGTTTTTTTTGTACATCTATAATAATTCATTTTGTATCATCAAAAAACATTAACATAAAACTAAAAAGTTTAAATCTACTGTATCATCGACAAGTGATGACTTATAAACATATTACTAATTATTATTTGAAAAAAATATCACATTTTTTATTTTTCCTTGTGATTTTTCCTTTATTATTTAGCAAAAAACTTTGTTTTAAAGCAATAATGAATTTTTTTCTCATCGATTTTATTTCTCCCTTTTAGTTTTTATGTAGGTTGAGTTTAAATGATTTTTTATATTTTATTTTTGTCATACTACAAAATATATATAGCAAGGATAAAAAGGAGACTTTGTAGATTGAACATTTTGTTGTATTTGATTTTTCACTTTTTTTGTGTTTTCAGATGCCAGCATGAACATAGACAGATCGATAAATGATAAAATTAAAAGATAGGCACATGAAAAATGATATTTGAAGCTTAGTTTTTATAAATTGTACTTGAAAATCACAATTACAACAGAATTGATAGGATAACAATACGAGATACATGTTTACAATGAAATACTTTACAAGCATATTCTAAGGAATTAAAGTGTTATTAGTTGAAGCTAAAAGCATATTCAAAAGTTTGACGAATGATTTGGATTCAAATTACGAACAATCTAGGAAGCATGTTTCATTTGAAATTAATCTAGAATGTGTTGATTTTAATTGGCATTAATTTTTTTTTGGATGATTGCTCTGTGAGAAATCTAGTACTTAATATGTTTAATAATCTAATAAATCTAGTACGGCTTAAAATTAATCTAGAATAATTTCAAACGATGTGTTATGAATAAAGTCATCTAGTACTTGAATTTTAAAATAAATCTAGTACGCGATTTTAAAATCTAGTACAAAATTGATAATCATTTTCTCATTTATTAAATCACTAGAAATCATCATAAAGTAGTAGATTTTAATTTTAATCTCGGATTCTCAATTAATTTTAATCTAGTATAGCTAAGCTTTATCTTAAATTCATAAATGATCATATTTAATACTTATGTTTTGCACTAATCTAGTCTTAGCATAGTAATCATTGCATTAAGTTGTTCTAGAGAATTCTAGTTTGAAGTTTCTAGTCTGAATTCGATGGGATTATTTTAAAAATATCTAGATTAAATGTAAGATTATGATTATTGAGAGAATTTGTTCATTAAATTCGAAATTAAATTGATAAACTCGAGTGTGTTTTTGAATTGAGATAAGTTTGAAATTAAAATGTTCATTGAAAATTTTGAAATCTAGTACAATTATATATTGAACTGAATTTGAATCCAAAACAGTAGTAAAAACTTGAAAATCTAGTACATATAAAAATTAGAGTTAATTTAAATCTCAAAAAGTCGTTAGGAGTTAAAACAATTCTAATGTAAAATATCTGTAAAATTTAAGTAAGCTTAAATTCAGCCTCAACTAAACACACTTCAATTTTAGGACAGTAAACTTAATAAATTAAGTAAGAATAAGAGTAGAAAAGAGAAATCAAATATAACTAGACAGTCTTTGAAAGGTTCAATGAGCTAAAAAAATATTTCTTATTTTTATAAATAGCAAAAAAAGTGAAAAAATGTATGGCAATTAAAAAACTTAAAATAAATTATTTTTTCATGAAAAATTCTTTTTTAACCAATTTATTGCTGAAATAATTTATTCAATAATAGATTTATATAAACAAATAATTACATTTCTTCTTTCTCTGTTCTATTTTTTCTTCATTTGTGTACGAAAGGAAATAGATAAAGCTTTTCTCATCTTTTTATTTGATTCCTTCATAAAATTTTTTTTCTTTCATGTCTTCTACCTTCATTTTATATAATTCTCAAATTATATCGAAAATCTTCTTCATTTTGCGGTATTGCGGTAAATCATTCAAGGTTTCATAATCCGATAAAGATTTTAATAATCGTTCGGTGTTTATTAATTCAAATCCCATATGAGAATTCTGATTTAGGTCCCGTCGTAATTGTCGGATAGCTTTTCATTTAAATTTTTTATTTGTGTCATCGCACAACACGCATGCATTTTGCTTCACGTAGGCAAAAAAAATTGAATAATTTACTAACACACTTACACAAATTCTCAAATGTGTCCAATAAAATCGATGGCGATAAATTTTTGAGTGTCATGTGAGAGAATCTTAGACACGTACTTGCACGACTGTGCATTGTTTTGTGTAAGCTAGATAATTTTGAAGTGGTTTCCATGATTATTTTTTGGACTTTATGTGGTCATTGATACCTCAACACACTTCAAATGATGTTACTTTTAAGTTTAATGAAGAAATAAACTGAGCAACAGAATCGGAACGTATATATACTGAGCAACAGAGCAACAGTAACCTAAGCTGAACAACAGTCGAATATAGCTTAGTGACATTTACATAGAGCTGTGCAACAGTAAGTTTGAGTCGTGCAACAGCTACAAAGACTTAATCAAGTGTCACATAGACTTAAGCAACTGTCACATAGACTTAAGCAACTATCACTCAGATTAAAGCAACTGTCACACAGACTTAACATCTGTCACACAAATTAAAGCAACAAATAAATATACTTAAGCAACTGTCACACAGACCTTAGCAACAGTGCAGAGAAACGCTTATCTAAAACTGTCCAAAACTAAGAAGTAAGACATTTAAAGCCATAAAGCTTCAAGTTTTATAACTTAATGAAAGCGAAATTACAAGTTTCTTAATCTATTTCTAATTTACTTCAAGACTACAAGCTTT